AAAAAAAAAAAAAAAAAAAAAAAAAATACCGCAAGACTTTTTTGACAACCTAATATTTTACTGATAACAGGACATCGTTGTGCCGAAAATATATAGAAAACTTGCGAAAAATTAACCTAGCCCCATATTAGTATTACCAACATTTTCGAAAATCCTGTCGACTTTGCTCCATATGATTGGTGATTGAATATGAGGTACCTTAATGAGACCTAAGGAACATGATTTAGTAAGTGACATGACATGTATCGAGACTACCTTAACTCCAATTTACTGTGTATAATGGTGCAGGTCAATGTATGAGTTACATAGAGTACAAGCGGTCGGTACATACTTCGCTACGTATAAAGTGAAATAACAAAAAAAAAATTTCTAACAGCAAATTCATTTATTCAAACCAAAAAATATTTTATTAATTGCCAGCTGCTTTAGAAATTAATTATATATTGTTTGAATTGAAATGGCATATCAGATGGAATACGGATACGCGTTATCAAAAAACTTCTCCTTATGAGTTAGCAGTTAAGATCGTAGCCACAATCAAATGTGGCCACAATTTTTTCACTGGCATCAGCAATATACCAGATAAAGGCTGTAAACGAAATGAAATACCGACGATATGCTAAACATGGTATATATTTGAACAATTTAAGAATCAGCCTTTGTGTGAATGCACTCAACAATAACAATGGGAAACAAAAATTAACTGCAGGAAAAAGTTACATTTTTGCTCTATCACCTATAGTTTTTTTTTTATTATTTTTTTAATTGTTTTTGTTGCCATGGGATTTTCGTTCAAAAAAGCAGTGTGAGATATATTATTGTTATATTATTTTAATAACCAAAGAGTACTTTAAAATAGCACTGTCGATATTTTTCGGCGATATTTTGTTTTTGGCAAGGAAACTGGCACTCCACTTGCCTTGGTACCGTTTCTCCATAGCAGAAATATCTTGGTTTCGCATGTTCGTCTCTTACGGCCCCTAAATTTTTGGGGGAAAAAAATTCAGAAAGTGAATTTGAAGGGACAACAGTGTTTTTTATATGCAGTAAGTAGTTCAGTCACAAGATCTCTGTAATTGTCAGCGTTCACATTTATAAGAAAATTTTTAACAACGCTTTCAAAGATACTCCAGGCTCGTATTTCAGTTGCATTGAGAATTTCCTCAACTGTTTATCTTTCCTTAGTTCTCTTATTTGCTTCACTGACTCTTAAAAATTTTTGTTTCAGATACAAGAACCCTCTTCCATTTCTGTCAATTGCCTTAACAAAATTTTTCATTAAACCCAATTTAATATGCAAAGGTTGTAGTAATACCTTTTTGGGATCAACTAGACGTTGCGTGGTAATGTTTTTTTGTCCCGAAGTAAGTGCCTGACGTACTGGCCTCTGCTTTTGTACATAATGGCATTCTCTCACCCGACAGTCTAATTCGCAAAAAAAGCAACAATATTTCGTATATCCTAGTTGCATTCCAGAACCATACTCATGATATTGGATATGCTCTAGAAGAACTGTCATATTTTCATATGATATGAAGGGCACAAATAGATATTTCTTCCCGTTATGACCCAATATCGCCTTTAAACTAAGTCGCTTGAAAATATGAGATGATGCAATATAATAAAATGTTATGTATTGTAAGATCTAAAGCACCAAGTTGCAGAATATCAGTCGGTGATATACAAATTATCTTTTCAGATTTGGCTCAGGGTATCAAAATGCATTAGGAACCTCTAAGTATTTCTATGTCACAATTTATGTGTCTTCCAGTGTAATTAACGCAGACAATTTGCTTTAATAGAAGCAAAAACGATTTGGTTACGCTTGAATATCACTGGTCGAATCATCAACTCGTCGTTGTTTTTGTTCAGTTGATATCTTTACAGTGTCCTCTGTCTCGAACAACTTCACTGTGTGGTGGTCCAAAACTATTTTGTTACTTGATATTTTCTTCGGTAAAAATATATATTCACGTTCACTGTCTTCTGTGCTCATTTCACCACATATTAACTAATCACACCAATCATTCATGGTTGATTTTGCTAAGGCAATGTACCGCAACTCGTTATCAATCCAAGTTGTTGCTTCAAACGTATTTGTTCCCTTGAAAAATCAATATTTTATCAACATGCGAAATAGCTTTTTATCAATTTTTTTCACAATAAAAAAAGATGTTTCATTCAAAGTGAAGAAATTCACAAACTAATGATCCCACAGCTGTGAGCTTTATGCACGGGCCATTTAAGGGTTACGGCTAGTTAAAAATCATATGAATTTAGCTTTAGTAGTGCCACGTTAAGTGACAGGTCAGGTGAATAAATGAATCCGTCCTCTCTTCCTTTCTTTGAAGGCAATCTCATTCGGAAGAATATGATAAAATCAAAATGATGCTTTATTTGAATTCGAAGTGCGCATTTCTTCCTTATCTTGGCTTCAGAGAATCTGCAGTTTTCCACCTAACATTGTAATTTTATTAAAAACTATGCTTTCGTTGCCTACGATTTATATAAGCACCACTTGTAATTGCATCTTATGTCCTTTTCATTCGCTTCGAATAATTAATAGCACTCCGAGTGAAATCCTGCTGCAAAAGGCTTTAGTAATGCTTACTACTCAAGGCATCCTATTTCATTAGATTTCCCTTTAAATGCATTAAGATTTAATTTCCAATAAGCGACAAATAAATTCAGCCAACCAAACAACACCGCCCAAAACACGCCCACACTTCCGCTGACCCATCCTCTGCATACGCTCGAAGGTCAAAAAGCACTTAATGTCTACAATCGTCATGCCCCAGCGTCGTAGACGCACAAAAGTTTTCGCAAAACTTTCCCGAGCACTTAACACTAATACGAAAATCCCCGCCATTTACTCAACACCGATTTCTCTTTTCTTTCTCCCACTGCAGGACAACACGGCGGAACTCCGGCAGCAGGATGTGTTTAATCGCGAAAGCAGCGAAGAAGACCAGGATGACGCCTTCCATCGCTGGCTCACGTCCACCGAAATGAACGCCAACAACAACGGGAGCAACAGCGGCAGCTTTACTGATTATAACAACAATTCGTTGGAGTTAGAGAGCGCGACACCAGCACGTCGCACAGATTTGTCGGGTCTCGCCGGGACACAAACTATTAACGCAACGACCGCAGTAAAAACTATAAACGACACGAACGCATCAAGGGGCGCGAACGGTGGCGGTGGCGTCGGCATCGGCATCGGCACCGTCAGAAATAATAACAATAGCAAAATTGATAATGTTTACTTTCGCAGTTCCTACAATGATTACAGTAGCGAATACAATGGCAGCGTGGTGAATATCGATATATTGCTCACCACCGCGGATGAGCAGCAACAAGCACAACAGCAACAGCATAAGGCCGATTTGATTACGCAGTCAAGCAGCAATTCACAGCAGGCGGCAAGAGGCGGCGGCACGGCGGGAGCAAGCAGCAATTCCAGCGCAACGGTGGCAATAAATGCAACAACAACGCTACCAATTGCTGCCGTTCAAACGAGCAGTCCGGAGCGACAGTGCAATGTTATGGGTATGTCTAGTCTTAAATATATGTATTAGGGTGTTTCGGAAAATGGTGACATTTCACAGCTGTCAAGAAAGAAAGGAATTGCAATTTAGAAAATCCGACGAAAATACTTTCATCTTACGTCTAAGATTCACCCTAATGTTTTTGTATAAGCTCCATCGTTTACAAATGCTCAATTGAATTTCAATGCTAGTTTCCATGCGCCTGTTCTCTTATGTGGCGGCCATCGTAGTCAAGCACGAGTATCGGAGCCATTTGTCAAGTCAGCTGCCGCTGCGATAAATTTATACGCACATAATAGCACAACTAATCGGTTGGGGACTCTAAACAAAGCTACGCACATTTATATTTTATTTCCATTGCCTTAATTGAATTTGCATTGCGAAGTTCACGAAGCCTAAACTAAAGTTGTTATTGTTAATTTATTATAAAATTAAATTTAATGTTTGTTATTTGACAAAACTTGCATTAACGGTATCTTTAGAACAACAGTTGGTGGAAAGGAATGAGTCAGGAGGAAAATTATCTGCAAAAAACCGAGCGAGTAGTCCTCAAATATAGTAAATTCAGGTTGCTGTCGCTGAGATAGAATTCGTTGTGTAACTAAGTGTTGATTACTAAACCAACAGATACTCCTTGACTAGCTCGGTCTCGGACTGAATGTTCACCTTCACGAAAGAGGTTTCGAGCAGTATGTCTACCGCTACTTCGACAACACCTAGAAATACACTACCGTGATCCGGTAGCCTAAAGCAAAGCTCCTTACAGAAAACTACCCTTACAATTCTCCCTATTAGTTTCGATACACCTCTGAAAAAGCTTACTACGCATTTTCTTAAGCGACTTTTCCCCATAGCCATAGTCCTCGTTAAAAAATAAAAGCAGCCAAAATGGAGCTCTGTGACGCAGTGATCCAAGTTCCTAAGGATGCAGCTAAAGAGGGAGAGCGTATCCTTGCTCAGAACAATTTACGTACCCTGCTTGCATGAGCTTTAGAGAAGACCTCGCAGCCATTCACCTACCAGCATCGTCTACAATATTCGGTATATATGAACGATTTTTATCAACGATAAGCCGTAGATATTACACCTTGTCAGCTGGTTGAAGAGGGAAACCGAATAAAGAGGCAGGTTTGGGATCATGTATCTTCTAGTCAATATTCTTCCATTCGCCCAGCATCAATAATTTGCCTCCATGACGGCTTTTTATCAAGTTGGGGTTGCCCTATTAACCCCAATGTCCCCTCGATGTCGAAAAAGGTGCTTACAGGGAATTTCTTGGGCATAAGGGCTGCTTACAGGCATGCTACTACATCGTGGCAAACAGTGCCGATGAGATAGGCATGCTGGGACTTTAAAAGTTCACCCCCCGATTTTCTGTTTTCAATATACAATACAGTTGATAATTGTCACTTTTGGGATGATGCCATTGTTGAGACACCGTTATATTATCAAAAACTCACTGTTTGATAGCTCCATGGGCAGAGGAAATCATTGGTCACAATTAACGATTAGAGAATGTTGATGTGGACGACCTCTGGTTCAAACAACACAGTGCTACATGTCATGCAGCCAACAAAACAATCAACATCTTTGTAAAATAAGGTCGGTCGAAAGCATGTCCAGCGCTTGGAATTTAAGTATGCTCTCTCCAACCTCAAAAAGGGAGATCCCACAATCTGCGCCAACTACCGTGGGATAAGCCTACTCAACATCGCGTATAAGGTTCTATCGAGGGTACTGTGTGAAAGCTTAAAGCCCACCGTCAACAAACTATTTGGACCTAATCAGTGTGGCTTCAGACATGGCAAATCAACAACCGACCAGATATTCACCATGCGCCAAATCTTGGAAAAGACCCGAGAAAAAAGAATCGACACGCAGCACCTCTTCGTCGATTTCAAAGCTGCTTTCGACAGCTCGAAAAAGGGCGATGTCTGAATTTGGTATCCCCGCCAAACTAATACGGCTGTGTAAACTGACGTTGAGCGAGACCAAAAGCTCCGTCAGGATCGGGAAGGACCTCTCCGAGCCGTTCGATACCAAATGAGGTGTCAGACAAGGCGACTGCCTATCGTGCGACTTCTTTAACCTGCGGCTGGTCGAGCAGTTACAATCTTTTAAAAGAGTGTACAGCTGCTAGCGTATGCCGATGATATTGTTAACATCGGCCTCAACACCCGCGCAGTTAGTTCTGCTTTCTTCAGACTGGACAAGGAAGCAAATCAAATGGGTCTAGCAGTAAACGAGGGCAAGACGAAATATCTCATATCATCAAACAAACAGTCGTCTCACTCGCGACTTGGCACTCACGTCACTSTTGACAGTCATAACTTTGAAGTTGTACATAATTTGGTCTATTTTGGAACCAGTGGGAACACCACCAACTATGTTCAGTCCGAAGTAGCACCGACCAGCCAGCCACCACTTTTAATGAGTCCAAGGTTGGTATCCCCGTCCTGCTATTTCAGTTGATGGTAACTTCTTTGAAGCAGGCTGTACTCTGGAGCAATAAATCAACTGTTACCTTAACGGCTGCAACCTTGACTTGGAAAATATTGCAATAGTTAGGAAGTTTGATGGTGAAATTGAGTTCGAATTTGCAACTCCATGATTGAATTGATCCGGTATAAAGTCAAAGAAACCTAGATTATCTGAGTAAATAAATTTGTGAATTCTTTTCATAATTTTCATATTGACGAAAAATGATGAGTAGAAGACAAGCAAAATTCAACATAAAATTGTGTTAAATAAGTTATGTCTTCCAAGGCTTTTACCTGAAAGTGCCGAAATGCGAGATTTTCTAAAAACATCAACAACAGCAGGAACAATTTATTGCGGAACAACGCAAACACTTGCCTGTGGTGAGACCACGGTGGAAATATAGTTCTTTATTCGGCGGTCTCATTTTGTGGTCTTACACGTGATACCGAGGAAATTTTATGAAACTTATACTTACATAAGTACATAAATACATACAGCTCGTTATTGGGTTTTGGAATAAATGTAAGAATGTATGTCGGTCGTATATTTAGTTTGAGCTTGAAAGAGTGGAGCAGGCAGCAAATGAGTGTTTGGCGCTGAAAAGGTGGGAACAAGCGACCTTGAACTGCGGGCAGTGCCAAATTACTGTTAGCCGCAATTGCATAGCGCACGCCGGGGCTTGGCATGGTCTTCGTGGTAGTCACTTAAGCTCACTCCGTTTGAGTGCTCGGAATATTTGGGGTCGTCCACTTGAATTTCACAGCACTAACTACTAAACGCTTCAGGAGTGAGATTTAAGAACCAAAAACATTCTGAAAGAGCAGGTCTTCTGTTGAGGCAGCTTATTAAATTGCCTCAAATAATTTGAGCGAAATAAAACTAATTTTTATTTCATTTTGCTTATTGCTTTGTTGCGTTAACTCACGGTCGCACTTCCTTTTAATTTTATTAAATTACTTATAGTCAGTTTGAATTTGCTCTTTCGCTGCTTTGGCGTGATTTGTTTGCGGTAAGTTATGGACTTAAAAAAACTTTCAATTTCAATGAACTCAGAAGTGTTTCTGATTGCATTAAAAGGATATGTAATGCTGCTGGAATACCATTACTATATATTTGATAAATTATTTTGCCAGTCATCACAAACCTTTTATTGCATCTCCAAGCATCTCGGATGATACCATTTAGAAACGAATGTTTGCACGAAGCTCTTTACCACATCAAAAATATAAATTTTTATCGCTGTCAAGTAACTGTTTATACTGGAAAGGAGTTGTGTAGACGGCATTGAGTCAACGTAAATTTTGTCCATCTAGTAAGTTACTTAAGGGTTAAGTCCAGGCAGATAAAATATTAATTTATGACCAGATGATCATCTATGGATGGTTGACTGCTAGGTCCGGATTCCTTGCTGCCATTAATCGATTTTTGAAATATATTTGTTAATGGAACGTATTTAGTATATTTAAAAAATTTTCAATATCGGTTAGGCTTTTAATGTTACACCAGACTTTTACCAGGGATATATCTGTTTTTTTGGAACAAAAAGTTTCCTGAAATCTTGTAAGACATCCTACTGTAGGCAAAAAGTTGTAAAACTTTTTACTTTAGATTTCGCGCGAAAACTCATTCGCCGAAATATTTTTCTTTTTCCTGCGTTGGGCTGACTGTCAGTGACAAATGTATGTGCCAAACGTCACATCAGAATAGTCATTAGTGTTATGTGTACGCTTGGCTTTGTAAAATACATAAAGTGCATTCATATGTGAGTGAAAATATTCAAGAAGGAAGTTCCTTGAAATTTTGTGTATATAATCAAATTTCTGGTGTCGAAATGTTCAGAGCATTGCAAGAGGCCTTTGGTAATAATCACAAGCAAGTGTTTTTGATTGGTATTCAAAGAGGGTCCAGCACGCATTGACTACGAATCCCGTCCAGGACGCCCGTCAATATCCACTGGTGATCAACACGTGAACCAAATAAAGCAATTGGTGTATGAGAACCGACGATAAACAGTCAGAGATCTTACTGGCTATCGGATCAGTGAAGACCTATTTTAGAGATCATCTAGGACTCAGAATCACGATTGTTTCCAAAAACACGCAATCTTTTCGAAAAATACTGTCGCTTTAACGTCTCAGAAAAAATGCTTTACGGCTACCGGAGAGATCATGAAATGTATTATTACTGGCGATAAATCTTGAATCTAAGTTTATGACAAGGAAACAGACGTCGGTCGAATAACGTGGCATAGGTGAGGTAAAGCTGGAAAAACTACGTCAAAGCAGATCAAAAGTAAAGGTGGGGTTGGCAATTCTCTTCGATTATCGAGGTGTAATGCACTCCGAATTCCTTCCGACCTGCCAAACTGTCAGCAAGGAATATTAGTTAAGTTTTTTGAAAATTGAATTGAGTCAATTAAAGGCATTAATCATGAATAGCATCGAAACAACTGTTTCGAAGACTGGGTAAAAAGCCTGTAACCTGTACCAAGCCTTAACTGTATTTTAATAGTTTGTAAGA